TTGACCTGAAATATCACACTGGTAACAGAACACCTACCTCAGTAGGTTCTTTCTATACTGGATTGGAGACTGGATTGTCAGATACTTCTTGCCCTAAACTTCTTGAGGCGCTCATTTCATCTCTTCAGCTGACTACTGGACCCGGTAGGCAAAGCGGTGGACATGCTCCTACAATGATGGCCACCACAAGGTGCTTATACTTTTCCCCCGTATGGGTCCTCCACCAAGTCCGGACTTAACCAGTTATTATGCTAACTTTAGTGTACTAACAATCTTAATTTTAAAAATGATCGGAGGTGAGTATTTTCCCTCCCTGGTTTTATACTTTTTTGACTCTTTCTCTTCAATGATTTGGTGTATAGTCTGGAGTTCTATACTCTGCTGTTGTTTACTTTCTCGTTTGTTCTGTTTATCTTGTTAGATGAAGTTAAATCTATAGTTAATCATTGTTGATTTACTGAATAATGCATTTATTACTGTCTGCCGTGTCACTCTGTTTTCCATGTAAAATTTCGTTTGGCTAAACCTTTTTTTGGTCTCTTTCAGCCTGAATTGCTTTGGATTTTGTTCACTGAGTATTTTCTCGTGGGATACATTCCTTGGAAATTTGTGTTTGTCATTATTAATATTAAGATTATTAGTATACTAAAGCTAGCATAATCTTCAAGTTTTATCCTCTGTTCAGAATTCATGCAAAATAATCTTATTTCAGAAGTCACATTGCAGCTTTAATAGAACTTTGTAAAATCAGGTCCTGCAACTGAAGATTTGTGTGGAGACTATTCCAGAGCTGGGCAAATGCTAGATCCCCAGATTTTGTAGGCCTACAACTGCCATGATACTTTCACAGACTTTTGAATGGCAAAGCATCATGGACATTATGGTTCTGTCATCAACCATTTGCCCACTCCTAGTCTGTCCATCCTGTTGTTGGTAAACAAGTTAAATGGGGACTATCTGGATTTTAATATTTTGTGAAGATCAATCTACCCTACATTCAGTCTTTACGAATTTGTGGGGGAAAAACTATAATTACTGCTTTACAGGAGAGACAACCTCTAGAGAAAAGAGAACTGTAACTGTTTCAGCCTGTTCCAGTGGAAGAGGTCCTCAGAGACCTCAGTCAAGCTTCGGTGACTGAGTCTAAAGCACTCCAGGGTCCTCTGGTAGCAGCATGGAAGCTCAGTCAGAGTACAGGAGATCTCTCAAATAGCCTCAGGTTTGTTTTCTGACATTTACTTCAGTTTAGTGCAAGAGGTTTTAATGGCTTTCTTTGGGCAGTCCAGTTACAAGATTTAGGATGGTTTGAACATTTTAATGTATTTGAGAGGATAAATACTTATATAGTTACATATCAGTATGGGTTGGAAAATATCACATTCCATCAAGTGTAACTTTTTCACATACATGTTTTGCAACTCAACATTAACCCATTGGAACTAAAACAAATAACATTTTGTAAGGTGACGGTGTGAGTGAACTAATTTCACTAATTAATGGAACTGATGCCCAGTTGTGGTACAGGTTTTTTGGTGAAGATTGTACAGGTGGCATTCAGTCTGCCAGCTTAGTACTACCCATCTCGTCATCACTCTGCTGACACAGTCAGACAGACCGGCTGCTTCCTCGTCTGTGTGAAGAGAGATGATCGTGTTTTGATTTGGGAACAAAATCTCTGCTGTTTCAGCAATCTGCATATAAAGCAGAAAAACAAACCGGGCAGTAAATTCTAGAAAGAAAATAAACATCTCCGTTATGACGTTCTTTACAGACACATGCTCAGTGGGTGGCTTGGACTGAGACATCTGACCTGTTATGAAACCTAACAACTATGAATGCTCAAAGAGGTTTTTAATAGACAGATTATAGAGGATTTACAAATGTGTACCATGTCCATGGAACATTGCACACAGAAGCAGAATGTGTAAGTATAATACTGAGTGTATTGTTTAATGGTTCATATACATCAATAAAATTCACTCTTCCTCCTGTAACTCTAGAGCACTTGGCTGCTGTTCCACCTTGTATTCAAAACACATTGTATCTCAAATTCCAGTTCATTGTATATAGATAAGTGTTTTTTTTCTTTTACCAGACATGTATACTTTCATGAACATAGGTTGAGCATACATTTTTATCTTTTAATAAGGTAGACTTCTAAATTGTGATGATGTTTCTAACACTTGGTCCTGATTTGCTAATGGATGGCAGAAAGTTATGTGCCATGTAGTTCAATAACGAGGGAGAAAATCTTAGACATCCATGCCTTAGTCATCCTATTCGTATCTCCTCCCCGTGCTTATATGACTTTTATGTATGAGGACAAAACACAGGGTTATCTCTCAATTTTAACATTTTCTTTGAAGGAAAGAACCAAATACCCTTACTAGACAGTGGTAGGAGAAAGGGAGGTTACATCTCTTTACCTACAGTTCTTAATCCTTATTTCACCTGGCATGCCCACAGCCATATTTTAGTGCATGTGCAAGAGTAGGATCTATGGAAGATCTTGGTGGAACCTAAATAGATCTTCTCTCAAATAGGACGTTTTGCCATCAGGGCTGGATGTACCGGGTGCAGACCTGGCATATGTCCCGCTTGAGCTCCAAACTGAAAGTATCAGTGCATTGCCATGAATCACACTAGATCAGTTCTGCACTTGGCAGTGGTTGCAGATCAGATGCTCTCTCAGTCCCCCTCATTATCTTCTACAGTGGGTGCACTGAACCAGTGTGGGAGATAAAAGATCTTCCCACTGGGCCATGAGACTAGAGCTGGTGCAGGGTGCAACTGTTGTCACTGTGATTGAAGCCCTTCTCTGTTTCAGTCGCTGTGACATTGCTTAAGGGAATTGGAAATATTTGCATTTGTTGGTTTGGTTCTGCCACTATAAGTTGTATTTTGGGCTGTTGGGGGCTCATCCTTGCGTTCACTAGACGTGTAGATGGAGAAAAAAAAATCTGGTAATTTTCAGTGCTGGTTTCCCTGATGATCCAGCGGGGAAGGTAAATTATGATTCCCTGGTGGTCTGTGGGGGAGCGCATGATCTGCATATCCCCCTCTGGTATAGTACTTCATAATATGGTCTTAAATAGTTGCTTTGGAGAATGTTTTTGCTCTTTCTATTTTGGACTACAATTTGCATATTCCTTGCCCTAGTTATGATCCCAAAATAGGATTCTTATTTCTAGACACAAATTCTGAGTATTGAGTAGTAGTGATGTGCCGAACGGTTCACCGCGGACGACGAACATAAACATAAACTTTGACCCTGTACCTCACGGTCAGCAGACACATTCCAGCCAATCAGCAGCAGACCCTCCCTCCCAGACCCTCACACCTCCTGGACAGCATCCATTTTACATTCATTGTGAAACTGCATTCTTAGTGAGCTGTCCAGGAGGTGGGAGAGTCTGGGAGGGAGGGTCTGCTGCTGATTGGCTGGAATGTGTCTGCTGACTGTGAGGTACAGGGTCAAAGTTTATGTTTATGTTCGCCGTCCGCAGCGAACCGTTCGGCGAACCGTTCGGGACATCACTATTGAGTAGGTTTGACTTTTTTTCTTACCAAGAACCAGAACAGGCCATTTTATTTTCCATATTGCAAAAGTGATGGTAGGAGCCGCCCTCAATTCCAGCAGCCACCCGGTGCTCTGGAGCAGGACCAGCAATCCCACAACGACAAGGCAATGAAAGAAATTCTCCAGACACTCAAGGTGTTAAAGACGCAGGCAGTTTTAATAAAACAAAAAAGAACAGCAATGTTTCGACCTACAATGAGGTCTATGTTAAGCTTGACAAAGACCTCATAGTAGGTTGAAACGTTACTGTTCTTTTTTGTTTTATTAAAACTGCCTACGTCTTTAACACCTTGAGTGTCTGGAGAATTTCTTTCATTTTATTTTCCATAGTCAATGTATCACCAAAGCTGTCCAGCTATGACTCCACTAGCTCTAACCTACCTGACAAATATATGTAATCTCTCTAATCTCCATTCTTATTTTACAAAAAGATGAGAATTCACCAAGTGGGTTAGGCTCTATTTTTTTTTTTTATTTCTATATTATTTAGTCACCGCCATCTAAAGCAATATGAGATGTCATCAAGTGTTCAGTAAGCCCCCAAAAACATGGCCTTTGAAATACTATATTTTACCATTGCTAAAGTGAAAAAAACAATAGTTTAATAAGTGTATTAGTTTATGTACACTTTTGTAATAAAATTACCACACATATGAATAAATCTTTAATAAATATTCAAGCAAAAATATTTTTCTGTATATTCACATTTTTGCAGGATTGTACATTAACCTGGTAACCTGGCACACGTATTGCAATACACATTTGACCCTCTTGGATAAAAAAGGTCTTCCCTCGTTGATAGACTTCTGATTTTATTGCCATTGGACTTGATGGTGATATGGTGGCTCCTTCAAATTGGGCATTATGTCATAGGCACACAACACCTTTACAGAAAGAAAGATTAAAAGATATTATTTGCACTAATTGTTTGCACTATTTTTTAAACATATTTGTACTAAAGGTATTTTATATTATATGATCCATGGCCTTTGTCTTTTCCATTCAAGGCATACATGCTAGTGTTCCTTTGTTTTTTCTTTTGCTTGTTTTAACTGTTTTTACATTGAGAATAGAGAGACAAGTCTTGGTTTATTTTGTAAAATTATTTTTAAAAAGTGCTATCAACCAAGAATACCTAAATTTTGGAGGACAGCCAAAGGCACCCATAAAAATCTCAGCTCTGAAGCAGTATCGTCGGCAGTAGCCTTGCTGGTTCCTACAGGTCCAGAGGGACAATTTCGAGTCCTCTTGTCCACCTGGGTACAATACATAAGTGGTGTTAATGTTTGTAGTGGTTTTCATATGTTCGATATTTCATTGAATAATACATCGCTACAATATGGAGGCTAGAAAAGTAGATATCAAATTTTCACATTGATAAGCATAATAAATATTGTTACCAAGAATTGTGTAACTCTCTTAGTAAAATGCAGAACTTTTTCGAGTTTATTCACCAAAAACAAAATTGTTTAGAATTGCAAACTACATAACCCCAAACCCATAAGATCGTTTGAAATTTAGTTTTCTATGTGATACAGTTCTGTTTCTTTTTTTTTTTTTTTTAAATATACCCAGGCAGGTTTTTTGAGTTGTTTAAATTATAGTCCTGTCCATCTCTACCAATCCAGCCCCTCAGCGCTAATGTTTTTCCTCTACCACTTTTGAATTGAGATATAATGATGTCACTGCCGTAATCTCATCTGGAAAACTTTGTAAAATGTACCTGTCATCCAAAACACTTTTATGTGTATATACATAGGTAATGTATAGATTGTACATGTAAAATCTTCAACAAATGCTTACATTAAATCTTTAATGGGACCTTTCCTACTCAATGATAAATAATGCAGTGAATGCTATTTGGTACAAGCTACCATATTTATATGTTTTATATCTGTGCAAAAGCAGCAAAAAACAAAACAAACCTCCCCCCCCCCAAAAAAAAAACACCAAACCCCCCAAAACACTAGATGCTCTCTCTAGTGTAAACACTGAGCAACACATTACTCTATAGAGTAAGTAAACACTGAGTGATGCAGCACTCTATGGAGTAAGTAAACACTGAGCAATGCAGCACTCTATAGAGTGAGTAAATAAACACTGAGTGATGCAGCACTCTATGGAGTAAGTAAACACTGAGTGATGCAGCACTCTATAGAGTGAGTAAATAAACACTGAGTGATGCAGCACTCTATGGAGTAAGTAAACACTGAGTGATGCAGCACTCTATAGAGTAAGTAAACACTGTGCGATGCAGCACTCTATAGAGTAAGTAAACACTGAGCGATGCAGCACTCTATAGAGTAAGTAAACACTGTGCAATGTAGCACTCTATAGAGTACGTAAACACTGAGCAATGCAGCACTCTATAGAGTAAGTAAACACTGAGCAATGCAGCACTCTATAGAGTAAGTAAACACTGTGCGATGCAGCACTCTATAGAGTACGTAAACACTGAGCAATGCAGCACTCTATAGAGTAAGTAAACACTGAGCAATGCAGCACTCTATAGAGTAAGTAAACACTGTGCGATGCAGCACTCTATAGAGTAAGCAAACACTGAGCAATGCAGCACTCTATAGAGTAAGTAAACACAGAGCGATGCAGCACTCTATAGAGTAAGCAAACACTGTGGAATGCAGCACTCTATAGAGTAAGTAAACACTGTGCAATGCAGCACTCTATAGAGTACGTAAACACTGAGCAATGCAGCACTCTATAGAGTAAGTAAACACTGAGCGATGCAGCACTCTATAGAGTAAGTAAACACTGAGCAATGCAGCACTCTATAGAGTAAGTAAACACTGTGCGATGCAGCACTCTATAGAGTACGTAAACACTGAGCAATGCAGCACTCTATAGAGTAAGTAAACACAGAGCGATGCAGCACTCTATAGAGTAAGCAAACACTGTGCAAGGCAGCACTCTATAGAGTAAGTAAACACTGAGCGATGCAGCACTCTATGGAGTAAGTAAACACAAAGCGATGCAGCACTCTATAGAGTAAGCAAACACTGTGCAATGCAGCACTCTATAGAGTACCTAAACACTGAGCAATGCAGCACTCTATAAAGTAAACACTGAGTGATGCAGCACTTTATAGAGTAAGTAAACACAGAGCAATGCAGCACTCTATAAAGTAAGTAAACACTGAACAATGCAGCTTTCTATAGAGCAAGTAAACACTGAGTGATGCAGCACTCTATAGAGTAAACACTGAGCAAAGCAGCACTCTATAGAGTAAGCAAACACAGAGCAATGCAGCACTCTATAGAGTAAGTAAACACAGAGCAATGCAGCACTCTATAGAGTAAGTAAACACTGAGCAAAGCAGCACTCTATAGAGTAAGTAAACACCGAGCAATGCAGCACTCTATAGAGTAAGTAAACATTGAGCAAAGCAGCACTCTATAGAGTAAGTAAACACAGAGCAATGCAGCACTCTATAGAGTAAGTAAACACAGAGCAATGCAGCACTCTCTAGATTAAGCAAACACTGTGCAATGCAGCACTCTATAGAGTAAGTAAACACTGAGTGATGCAGCACTCTATAGAGTAAGTAAACACTGAACAATGCAGCACTCTATAGAGTAAGTAAACACTGAGCAATGCAGCACTCTATAGAGTAAGTAAACACTGAGTGATGCAGCACTCTATAGAGTAAACACTGAGTGATGCAGCACTCTATAGTGTAAGTAAACACTGAGCAAAGCAGCACTCTATAGAGTAAGTAAACACAGAGCAATGCAGCACTCTATAGAGTAAACACTGAGCAAAGCAGCACTCTATAGAGTAAGTAAACATTGAGCAAAGCAGCACTCTGTAGAGTAAGCAAACACTGAGCAATGCAGCACTCTATAGAGTAAGTAAACACAGAGCAATGCAGCACTCTATAGAGTAAACACTGAGCAAAGCAGCACTCTATAGAGTAAGTAAACATTGAGCAAAGCAGCACTCTGTAGAGTAAGCAAACACTGAGCAATGCAGCACTCTATAGAGTAAGTAAACACAGAGCAATGCAGCACTCTATAGAGTAAGTAAACATTGAGCAAAGCAGCACTCTATAGAGTAAGTAAACACAGAGCAATGCAGCACTCTATAGAGTAAACACTGAGCAAAGCAGCACTCTATAGAGTAAGTAAACATTGAGCAAAGCAGCACTCTATAGAGTAAGTAAACATTGAGCAAAGCAGCACTCTGTAGAGTAAGCAAACACTGAGCAATGCAGCACACTATAGAGTAAGTAAACACAGAGCAATGCAGCACTCTATAGAGTAAGTAAACATTGAGCAAAGCAGCACTCTATAGAGTAAGTAAACACTGAGTGATGCAGCACTCTATAGAGTAAGTAAACACTGAGCAAATCAGCATTCTATTGAATAAGTAAACACTGAACGATGCAGTACTATATAGAGTAAGTAAACACTGAACGATGCAGCACTCTATAGAGTAAGTAAACATTGTGCAATGCAGCACTCCATAGAATAAGTAAACACTGAACGATGCAGCACTATATAGAGTAAGTAAACACTGAGCAATGCAACACTCTATAGAGTAAGTAAACACTGAGTGGTAAGTAAAAACAGAGCAATGCAGCACTCTATAGAGTAAGTAAACAGCGAGCGATGCAGCACTCTATAGAGTAAATGCTGATCCTCAAGGCTTTCTCTAGTGTAAACAATGAGCAATGCAGTAAACACTGTATAGTGTAAACACTGAGCCTTGTTTATTTTTCTTTTTTACCTTCATCATGTTAAAATGTTTGAGCCTCACTAGAGAGAGATAAAAACTTGCTGTCTAATTTTTAGCAAAAGCACACCAGCAAAAATAAAAATTTAAACATTTAGCAAAAATAGCCAAGTTGCACTCCCTGCCTAAATTCAGCATTTCTGTTTTCAATACACTTCATCGCCCTGTTTACACAATAAAGTCCTCTGAGTGCCGATCAGCACTGACAACTCATTGTCTTTTTCTTATTACCAGTAGTGTAAACTCCTCTGTTTTTGTTAGATTCTTGATACCAAATGAGCACAACTTTCCCCATCATTTTATATATGTGTAGCCTTATTGATGGGACATTTTCTTTTTCAGTGGTTTACCTAATTACCTATTTATTTATTTATAAAATATTTTACCAGGATGGATACATTGAGATTTTTCTTGTTTTCAAGTAGGTCATGGGTCATTGGTCCACAAAACATTGCATTGTTACAATAGGGTACAATATTACAAAAATAACAATATATATATATACATACATACACACACACACACACACACACACACACACACACACATATATAAATGTAATACATAACAGGTAATAAATATATTCAACCATGACAGGTGCATTCTGTGCTGAGGTATATTGCCATAGATCTCTTAAAAGATTTTAGATTGAATGAAGATTGAACTAAGTGCCCTGCACGATGAGCATCAGGTAAAGTCCACCACCTGCCACTGATATATGTTTAGAAAATCTTATAGGACCCTGTGTAGTCTATTAGTGTGTTTTTCTAAATTTACTGTGCTTTCTGTGGTTGGATAAAAGCGTATTTTAAATCACTGGGACACTTGCTAACTTGTTATGACTCTTTACCATCTACAAGTCTCCCTTCCTTCGTCCAGCTGTGCAGTCCTTTAATTTAAACACGCAAGTGGCCTCTAAGGAAGTGAATCCATTTATACGCGTTGACCAGGCTATTGATCACTGCCAACTTTGATTAAATAAAAGCAAACAGAACAAAGAGCTTGGCATGAAATTCTTAGTATGACAATGAAAGCACGATACGTACCAATCGTGAGGGCCACTGACAGCAGCAATATAAAAATAATCTGGTTCATGATCATTGCTCAGATTAGCAGCAGTGAACCTGTTGATGTCAATCCTACTGCTGTGTGTCTGCATTTATCAGTCAGAGCCTTACAATAAAAGGGAGGGACTGGGGACCATGGGAGGGGCCGCCCTGAATGCAAAGCTTAACCATAGCATAGCACCGCACGTAGCACCGAGAGAGTTAAGCCACTGTCCTGTCTAGGCTGCATGCAATCTAGGTTTATTCAGTAAAAGGTCCTCCAGAGGATACTGCCGTTTATTGTACCCTGCTTATACGTGCAATGTCCTCACATGTGATGGACTTTAAATCAAAGGACATGTGGGCACTAAATAACAATACAGACAATTCAAGCTGGTCAAGCTGTTAGAATGGGTGTGCTACACAGAAGCCACTGCTTAATCTTAAAAGTCAGGGGAATCTCTGAATTTATGAACAAGCCAGAGTTAATACATTTCATTAGATACCTGAAGTCTCAAAAAGCCGTTAATTCTGCTCCATGGGATGTCCGTGTCAATTTCTCATACAAGCACATGTCTCTACACAGTGGCAGAGTTCATGTAGAGAGAGCTCTGGTGCAAGAAATCTTTTGGGCCCCCTTTGTCGAAATTCCACGATGCTATGCCAGCTGGGGTTCAACCATTTGCCCATTCTTACAGTGTTGTATTTGTGAGCAGTGTCTGTGCGTTTAAATGCAACCAAGTTTTTGAATAGAGCAGTGGTAGCCAACCTTTTTCTACCTACCGCCACTAATGCATCTTTCCTGGCTAATCATGGCAGCATTTAACATATGGGTTTAGCTCCTCCCTCTAACCCTCAGGACAGGAAACACAATCAATTAAACAATTAAGCATACCTTCCCCTTGTATAATAGGAACCCCATCAGCCATCACACCTCAGTCTTTTTTTCCTGTCCTCATAGCCCTAGGACAGTTAATTTTTTTTTTTTTTCTCCCTGAATTTTAAAGGGTAAAGTTTTTCTTTATGCTCACCTGATCATGCTGCTATGATCTTCACCCTGTGGAGGTCAGCCTCCCTCCACAGGAAGCCCAGGCACATGTAGCCCTTTCTCTCCTCGAGCAGGGAACCCCTGGGAACCATGGTGGGTAGTCCCCCTGGCATCTGAGAGCCTGAGTTCGCAGGATAAAGCCTCCAGACCTCGATCAGACGATCATCTATCCGGTAAGACGCCCGCGCATGCGCAATGGCCACGACCGGATTTTCGGCATGTTTGCCCTCATCCAAAATGGCGGACCAGCGGACTTGCCGCCAATCGGCGCATGCGCGCCTCCTTAAAGGCACAGAGCGGGAAATTTGAAAATGGCGGTATTTCTTCAAAAAAGCTGGCGTTTTCAGTTCCCTCTGTTATTCAGTGCTCTCTGGTGCCATATTCTGTCTCTGCAGGTATGTTTTAAGTTATTCTTCTATAATATATGAGGATGTTCAGGTTTTTGCTGCATGAAGTTCATGGTGACACTTTTTTTTTTTTTATGCAGCCCTTCTATAAAAATAAATAAAAAAATGGATCCTGCATCTCCATCAGCTAAATCAACAAGATCTACTATAGGTCATAGGTGAGCATTACGGTATATTCTATTTACTACATTAAAAAAGAGTGCATGGAGGGTACAGTCATATGACTTCTGTGTTTTACAGCCCTCAAGACCGGTCTGGCCCTAGATCTCCATCTAAGAGGAGGGATAAACCGGCGGCCTGCCCTGGATGTGGCGCAAGGCCTTTGGATAACTGCAGGTTATGCCGCAAATGTTTATCCATGATTGCAGGAGAGTCGGAACATCGCAGGTCTCCTCAAGCCTCTACGTCCTCATCTCAGGATATAGCTTATTGGATTAAGCAAGCAGTGGCGGAAGGGATTTCAGAATCCAATAGAGGCAAAAGACCCAGGCGTGAGAGCTTTGGCCAAGAATCCGACCTATCTGAAGATGACTTCAGACATCCTGCTGGTTCCTTGGATTTGGAGCTTATCTCTTCTAGTGAGGAAGAGTCCACGGAACAACCGTGTTCATTGGACACAAAGGCGATGGAGCATCTAATCAAGGCAGTGAGAAAGACTCTAGATTTGCCAGAAGAAGTCAGGGAAGTTTCTACTTCTGATAGACACTTCGGAGATCTCCATAAGAGGAAACCTTCCTTTCCAGTGCACAGATCCATTAAAGAACTGATTCGCTCAGAATGGAATGCTCCTGGTAAAAGGATTACAAGTCAGGGTAGATTATCAAAATTGTACCCGATTAAGGAGGAGGATTCAAGAATGTGGACAGCGGTCCCTAAAGTGGATGCTCCAATTATTAAGGTGGCAAAAAGATCAACTCTTCCGATTGATAGTAATGCTTCTCTCAAAGAACCCATGGATAAGAGAATTGACGCAGATCTTTCTAAGGTCTTCACTACAGCAGGCTTGGGTTGTCATCCAGCAGTCTCTATATCTGCTTTGTCCAGAGCATTACGTTCATGGATTCTTGATTTGGAAGAGGATATTGAGAGAGGAGTGAGTAGACGTCGCATGACGGACTCCTTGAAGGAGATCAAACTTGCCAGTGATTGGCTGTTGGAATCCTCCACAGATCTTATCAGGATTTTTTCCAAGGTTATGGCTCATTCGGTTACTGCCAGAAGGGCTCTTTGGTTGAGATCCTGGGGAGCTGACCTATCTTCCAAGAATAATTTATGTACCTTGCCATTTCTGGGAGAGGTGCTTTTTGGCAGACCACTTGAGGAGGCAATTAAAAAAGCGGCTGAGGTCAAGCAAATCTTGCTTCCACAGGACAGGCATCCAAAAAGACCACAACAGGACCATCGTCCTTACAGGCCACAGGGAGGATATAGAGATAGTAAAACCTATCGTCCAGGCAGAGAATATGCTCGGCTCTCCAACTGGAAGAGTGGTCAAACCGGGAAATCTTCCAGACCAAAGGCTCAAAATTCCTCCTTTCGCCCCACCAGACAGTTCTGAAGGTGGCTTATACCAGGTTCCCCATGTAGGAGCACGCCTTTCGTTCTTCTGGAGGACCTGGAGTGTGATTCCAGATGCTTGGGTGAATTCCGTAATCACCGCAGGATATTCTCTGGAGTTCGAAGATATTTCCCCTCCACCAAGATTCATCAGAACAAGACTCCCTGTCGACAGACAAAAAAGAGAAGTCTTGACCCATTATGTTGCCAATCTTTTTCTGGAAAGGGTCATTGTTCCGGTTCCTGTGAAAGAAAGGTTCCAAGGGTTCTATTCTCCCCTGTTCTTAGTAAAGAAACCAGGAGGAAAGTGGAGACCTATTCTAGATCTACACCAGCTCAACATCTTCTTAAGGATAAGAAAGTTTCGTATGGAATCCATCCGTTCCATCATTCCAGTGATTCACCACAGAGACTGGTTAATCTCAATAGACCTAAAAGATGCCTACTTCCATGTTCCGGTCACAGAAAGACATCAGAAGTTTCTTCGATGCTGTGTAAAAGGGGAGCACTTCCAGTTTCAGGCTCTTCCCTTTGGGATAAGTACGGCCCCGAGAACCTTCTCAAAGATACTGGTCACGGTAATTGCTTTCCTGAGGAAGATGGATGTAGCCATTTACCACTACCTCGACGACATTCTGGTAGTGGCCTCAGACTTCGAGATGTTACTCCAACACAGACATCTAGTACTCGAGACTCTCTCTCGGTTTGGGTGGCTAATCAACCACGAGAAGAGTCATTTAAAACCTTCAAGGGAGCTGGTGTTCTTAGGAGCATGCTTCAATACCCTCAATGCGATGGTATCTCTCGCCCAAGAAAGAAAATTGAAGCTGCAGGATCGTATGCAGGTTTTTCTTCAGAAGGCTTCTGCTTCCGCAAGGGAGTTTATGAAACTCCTGGGTACCCTGACCTCTACTATAGACCTGGTCAGATGGGCGCATTGGAATCTTCGTCCTCTTCAGCAGCATCTCCTGAAAAACTTCAAATCCAGCTCAGACGACTGGGAGAAGCAGATCCACATTCCTCTCAGCCTGAAAAGGAAGCTTCATTGGTGGATGAAAGAAGAAAACATCTCCAGAGGTTTTCCTTTGAAGGAAGTCGACTGGGTAGTCATCACGACAGATGCCAGTCAGTTCGGTTGGGGTGCTCATCTGGGAAATTGTTCCAGGAAGATCTCCACTTCATCTACTTACCACAGAATATGGGAAGCCTTTGCGGTCTGGTTAAATTCTTCTATACAGAACATGGGTACTCCTACAGTCTCTCAAGTTTTAGGTTTTCTACAAGTGGGCCTGGAGAAGGGTCTTAGTCTTAACACCCTGAAAGTTCACTGTTCAGCTATCTCGGCTCTCTCTGGCATTCGATGGACACTTCATCCTATGGTGGTTCGTTTTTTCAAGGCCGTTGTACGGATTAGACCTCCTATCAGACAACTGGCGTCTCCTTGGAATTTGCCTCTGGTACTGCAGGCCCTAACGGAGTCTCCCTTCGAACCTATTGGGAGCATACATTTGCAGATCCTTTCTCAGAAGACTCTATTATTACTGGCTCTAGTCTCTGCCAGAAGAATGTCTGACATCAGAGCTTTATCAGCCGAGGAACCTTACACTTCATTCTTTGATGATAGGGTCGTTCTCCGACCGAGGCCTGAATTTCTTCCCAAGGTTGTTACATCTTTCCATCTCAATCAGGAAATTATCTTGCCTGCCTATTTTCAGCATCCTTCTACCCCTGAGGAATCAAGGTGTCATATGCTGGATCTTCGTAGATGTTTACTGATGTATATAGAACGCTCTGCTGCTTGGAGGAAATCCTCTCAATTATTCATTATACCTTGGGGTTCTCGCAAAGGTGAAGCCGCCTCAGTCTCCACTCTTCGTTCCTGGACGGTTTCGGCTATCTCCAGGGCTTATGGAGCGTGTGGTGTTCCTGTTCCGAAAAACATCAGGGCTCATTCCACAAGATCTATCGCTACTTCATGGGCTGCAGAGTCAGGAGTTCCTGCAGAGAGCATCTGTAAGGCTGCCAATTGGTCTTCTCTAAAGACCTTTGTAAATCACTACAAAGTGGATATTGCTTCCCGCTCGGATTCGGAGTTTGGCTTGTCGGTCCT